TCTAGAAAAGTTTTACAAAATGATGAATTGCATTAAGGAAAATTTTAAGTCTGGTTATCATCTTGTTCTCAACCCATGTTTGTTATTGGGTCACGAGTCGTCATGTGACCAGTCACAGGCGGCTTTGCACAAGCGTGCTGTGGCGCTACAGCGTGAACGACTGCTGTTGCTTCAACACCCCACAGCAGTTGGAGTTCACCAAATCAAACGTCCCTGCTCCTCCTCCCCCATCAGCCGTTCCAGAGGCTCGTCGACGGAGCAGTTTAACCCGTTAAAACCTGATACTAGCAGCACGAATAGTTTATTTCCTGGTGGGAAATGGCCCCAGCTCATGCACCCGTTTATTGATCCGGCATTCGAGGACACTGGAGATCCATCATGAGATGTGTCTGTGCTGCTTTTGGATGCCAGTGTTTGACCATGCGGTAACCGAGATCACGTCGTCGTCTTAATGAAGATAATTACCGTACAGCTCGGTCAGAAAGCCGGTTTCCAGTTGATCTGATGTCAGCTGATCACATGACATCAGCTGGAAGCTCAAGCTCAGAAAACAAAATATGATCTGATGTTTTATATTTGACCCAGATACATCAGAAGGTCCTTAATGAGTGTTAGATGGTCTGAGATCCCTGCACGTACCCTGAGTAAGGGAACGCTCCCAGGCCAGATATGAATCTTTCCCATAATGCATCAGTCATGTGCTGCCTGGTGCTGCAGGTACACGCTGCAGGCCTCCACCTTCCAGATGGCCATCCTGCTGCAGTACAACACGGAGGACAGCTACACGGTGCAGCAGCTGACCGACAGCACGCAGATCAAAACCGTAAGAGGCCGCTCCAACCTCAGGATCCATGTAATCAGATTACATCTAATCAGCTGGCTCTCTGTTCTCAGGATATTCTGGTTCAGGTGCTGCAGATCCTGCTGAAGTCAAAGCTGCTGGTGAGTTCAGCCGTGTGTGTGCGTGTGTGTGCATGTGTGTGTGTGTTTTAGCGATCAGGTGTAAAAACTCAACTTTTAAAGGAGCTGCAGCAGTTTTAGATTAAAACCTTTAATTTTCTTCTCATCAGGTTCTGGAGGACGAGAACGCCAACGTGGACGAGGTGGACTTCAAACCGGACACGGTCATCAAACTCTTCCTAGGATACAAGAAGTGAGGATCAGCTTTTCCTTCTGCCGTCTGGGTTTGTTGAAGCGGTTTTAAATCGGTTGTCCTCCTGCAGTAAGAAGCTGAGGGTGAACATCAACGTCCCGATGAAGACGGAGCAGAAACAAGAGCAGGAGACCACCCACAAGAACATCGAGGAGGACAGGAAGCTCCTCATCCAGGTGACCCAACAAACTTTGGCCTGTAGTAGCTTCGCTTTTAGAAGCAGTAGTGTGTGCGTGCGTGTGTGTGTGTGTGTGTGTGTGTGTGTGTGTGTGTGTGTGTGTGTGTGTGTGTGTGTGTGTGTGTGTGTGTGTGTGTGTGTGTGTGTGTGTGTGTGTGTGTTTTTAAACATGCGCGTGTGTGCGCACGTTCTCAGGCTGCCATTGTGAGGATCATGAAGATGAGGAAGGTCCTGAAGCATCAGCAGCTGCTGGCTGAAGTTCTGAACCAGCTGTCATCCCGATTCAAACCCAGAGTTCCCGTCATTAAGGTAACGTAAACACAGTCAGCTGTTCTGGACCAAAGCCTTTGTGCACCTCTCCAGAATATTAAACGTGTTTCTACTCGCCTCTGAGATGAGAAGTTGCCCATGAGCAGAGGCCTTCGTAGCGTTTGAAAACATTAGTTTGGTGTTTTCAGCACTGAGATCAGCTTTAGCTGCACACGTGTGAGCTGGACCACGTCAGAGCTCTCTGCAGGGACTCAACAGCTCTAGGAGGATTCGACCCAAAACAACAGATGATTGTGTCATCGGCTTAAAAATGCACCCAGGTCATTTATACACATGATGAATAGGAGAGGTCCCAATATTGAACCCTGTGGCACCCCCTTGTGGACATTAAAAAATTCTAAACACTCACCGTCACATTTAACACACTGAGTCCTGTCGCACAAACCAGGAAGCAGCGTAGACAGTCCTAACCCTAACTAACCAAAAGTGAAGCACGGCGTTGCTTTTTGTCAGGAGCATCAAGTGCGTCGTTGATCACGTTAGCTGCCGTGGTGGTGCTGGGGTTGCCCTGAAGTAGAAACTCGATGGGTTGGTCACAAACGAGACTCAAGAACTTGTGACAAAACACACAGATTTGAAACTGGTCTGTAGTTGGTTACAACAGCTGACAAACGCAGACTTCCAAACATTGGGATTTTTTTATATTCTGGATTGAAAGATTAACTCGTTCACTCGTTCATTTTTTTTACTGTTTGAGCATCGGAACGAGCCCCCGCGCTGAGAGAACAAACACCTCAGCCCTGAAGCCGATCTTCATCCACATACGTCACACGTCACGTGATCAGGAAGCAGACCATCCATGTGTTAGGAGATCGATTTGGGCCGTTCCTGTAAAAAAAGTGAGGCATGAACCGGAAAAGCGTCTGCCGATCACAATTCGACAACGGATTATGAAAGAACGGATAACGCTCGAAACGCGCGGATTCTTCCTGATGTAAGAGGTGAGTCTCCGCTTTGTTTTGGTTGTTTTGGCGTCGACGTCATCCTAGCGCGCAACGTTCTGTCACTCTTAAAAAAAACAGTAAAAACAGCGAGAAACGCTGGCAGTGAATGAGTTAAAAAGAACCGGAAGAGGTTGTGCCACACAGTTAACTGCTAATTTCAAGAAATAAGGCTCTGTCAAGTCAGGCTTGGGGGGTTTCCTGTGGGCTAACGCTTTAGCAGCTTTATGCACCTCCTGCACGCTAAAGGGAACAAAAGTAGGACTCTCCGGCGGGAATGTGAGGTTCGGCGGAGGGAGTTGGAGATCCCTCCCAAAGAGTCAAAGAACCAGAATCTGCTTGTGAAAGCTATTTAAGACCCCGTCTCTCACAGACGGGGTCTGTGTCCATCAAGATGTGTTTGGGAAGAGACTGAGCGCTTCTAACTAGTGATGTTATCACGCTCCAAAGCTTTTGTGGGTTATTGAGGATTTCTGTCGTGACTAATAAATAGTCTGATTTAGCCTTCCTGATAAGAGAAGTACATTTATTTCTTAAATGCCTAAAATTAGACCAATCAGATGGAGTCGTCTGTCCTGGCTTTGGCCCACGCTAGGGCTGAACGATTATCGGTTTTGGACTGAAATTGCAATTTCAAACAGCATGATCACGTGACCGTCCACGCTGTGGTTTTAGTGGTTCTGACTGATCCACGATCAGTTGTAACTTTTTTTTACATCCGGGGTTTTCCCCGTGTGTTATGGCGGCGGCAAAAGCCAACGCGGGGGAGGGGGGAGGGGTGAGCCGTCCAGAGCTGAGCCCAACTCCACCGCTGCCAGAGCTGCATGTTCAGGTTGTTTCCCTGTTTTATGTTCCCACACACAGCGCTGCTAGAGCCGATAGTAATGCACCGTAGGTGGGCCCAGGACAGAGAGAGAGAGCGAGACTCCTCCCACATCAGCAGGTTCAGGCTGATTTTAAAGCTTTGTTTACGTTTCATCAGCGCGAGAGCGGAGTCGAACACTTTAGTTGACTTGAAAGCTCAGCGTCTCTTTTAAAAATGGTTTGAATGTTTCTGACGGCACACGTTAGTTCAGACAAGCTACGGTGTCAGAATGCGTGCGTCTCTCACGGAGCTGACGTTGGTGAGGAACGGCTTCAGCCGGCCGCGGTAACGCAGGAAAACTGCATTTGTTATTGAATACGTTTAAAAGCTGTTTCTACCTACAGACTTCCTCCATGCATTTTGGAGTAGAACATGTTTTATAAAGCTCCTCTAGATAAAAATCACAAGTTGCTTCACAAACACATAAAAATAAATAAAAACATAATAATGGGAGAAAATATGAATAGCTTTAACTGTTTTTATTGTATGATTAAATATTAGAGATGAGCCGGATTCTCGTTTCAGACGAGTATCCGGTACGGATAAAGCATTTTTGACGAATACGAGCATGAGACGAGTAAAACTCGTAAATATCTGTAATCGTGCTGAAGGAAAATACTCATTGGGTAACTGACTGTCTTCACGCTCTGTGATTGGTCAGTCACATAGAGCGCCCGCCCCTCCCTACACACAAAACTCTGCAGCCGAGAGCTCAGTCCGTCCGCACACACACAGTAACGGATCTCTCTGTGATTGCTTCACTGTTGCTCACGTTTCTTCAGAGCTCCCTAGGTTTTCTTCAGCTCGCCTCTTTTTTCGGTTGAATATTTAAAGTTACTTTTTTCCTAACTTGCGTGTTGCATTTGACAAGACAGAGCTGACGTGCAGAGTCAGTCACTGCCTCCGCTCCGGTCGGGTTTTTAAAATTTTTTAACTCTCTCTCTCACACACACACACACACACACACACACACACACACACACACACACACACACACACACCTCAATCAACATAGTTTTGTTTAAGTGTGTGTGGGGAAAAATGCCAACAACGTTGGGAAAAAATCAGTTTATTTTTATTTGATTAAAGTGGTTCTAGTATTTCATATTTCCTAGTTCCTACTGCATGAGTTCAGATGCATTAATTCATGCACTTAAACATTAATGTTCTGATTTTACTGAACAACTTGTTCTGTAATAGTTCCTTTACTATTGTGGTCAAACATATTTCATCTCAGTTCTGAGGCTGCTCTGTAAATAGTTTTCAGATAAATAATACACATAGCAACTTCTGATCATTCCAATCAATTTCAGATTTAAAATAATGTATTGATGTAAACCACACCCACTTCCGGTTAAACCACGCCCATTCTGATTACAGATACAGATAGTGGTGTCCTCGCTCATCCCTATTAAATAGTAAATATTAAAGTGAATGATTAGTTGTACTAGATTAAGAGTCTAGACCATCTTTTCACTTCATTTACTGGATGGCTTGGCAGGCTACTGCTGGACCTTTGTTTGCAGAAAATCGTGAATTGAACCGAAATCCCAATTTCTGCTAGAAAAATTGCGATTCAGTATTTTCCTAAAATGTTCAGCCCTCGCCAGTAGGCTGTTATTGTAACCTTCAATAATTAAAATAATCAATAAAACCAGAAAATTTTAGTTTCCTAGATTGCGCAGGTGCTGGATCGTTACCGACGTTGGCGTGTTGTAGTTCTGGGCGATACGGCCTAAAATTCATATCACGATATGTTGAGAATTTCACCTCTAACGATAAGTGGACAAGGACAGGTATGTGCAGAAACAAAAGTTGTCCACTAGATGGCGCTGTCACATGTATCACGTTGAGTCACATTTTTGACTCAAGGTGGTTCAGCTTCTTAAAGGGACATGAGCGTTGCCAACCTACATACATCCTCTCATTTTTATTATCATCACATTTATTGACGTGGGAAAAATGATCACGATAAGAGTCAGACATTTCGTTAACGATAAATTTTCCATTTATTGCCCAGCCCTAGCCCACGCTACATTACGCTGATGATAGACTGATGATTCTGGAGAGGACTGAGGGTTTTCCCGTCCCTTTCAGCTGTGTAGCAGATTTTCACTCATCGTCTCTGTGACAGGATGAAATGAATTTAATCGGAGATTAGAAATGTGGTGAAAGCTGCTGACACATGTCTGTCTCCCTCTGCTGGACAGAAATGCATCGACATCCTGATAGAGAAGGAGTACCTGGAGCGGGTGGATGGCGAGAAGGACACCTACAGCTACCTGGCCTGAACGTCCCGCCCACGTCCCGCCTGTTTTATTTGTTTGTAACTTTTTTTAATTTCATGTCCGAGTAACAAAGTGTGGATCCTTCTGAGCGGCGACCATGTGACCAACGAGAGGGGTAGGAGAACCCCGTCTACACTCGCCCCCCCCACGCCGTCATGTTGTAAATATCCGACTGTAAGAGGAACACGACCTCTCCGCTTAGGTAAACGTTAACGAATTAGTCAGGAGCGCCGCATCCAAAGGTTTCTGCATGCTACTGCCTTCCTGCGCTGCCGCGATCAGATCGAAGCGTACAAACGACCGGGACGTGTCTGGACCGCAGGACTGAGCCCGGTTCAGAACCACTTCTGTATCTGCTCCAGTCGTTCTGGTTGGAGGTCGGGATCGTGCAGCAGGATGGATCCATTACTGAACGGTGGACATTTGTATAGTGTGGTTCATTTTCTAAATGTGTGATAAATAAAGTCAAGGAAAGATTTCTCTAAACATCCGAGTGTTTTCATCCCAGAGGTCGGAAAACCAGCCCGTGGCCTTACGGAGGTCTTAATGTCGGGGTCACGGAGCACAAAGCCTAAAATCCTTTTGCTCATAAGAAACTCATCTTGCAAGAAAAAAACCCTTCAAAATAAAAGCCCACTTTTGAGAGTACGCAGAGATTAGTATAAATTGAAACATAATCTGAGGTGTTTACAATATTTTAATCTGCATCACTTGGAACAACACAACCCCTGTAAACGTTACAAAAGTAGTAGCACCTGTGTGATTAGAGGGTCCGGTCCAACAGGAACCAGAACCTGAAGTCGGGGGGACCGGGTAACACCTTCACTTACAATTTTATTAACTTTATTTTACCCATCATGCACCTGTAAGTCCTCAGCTACCCGGCCCTTAATCCAGCAGCTGGTATTTATAGTTCTAAAGCATCTGAGTCAGATCAGAACCACATGAATCCGATCCGGAACAGCAGGAAAATGATGGACTTTCCACAGAAACAAAAGGAGATGTGTTCAGAACCAAAGTCTGTAACCGGTCCACCTCGGCCCGCGGTGCCTACAAGTCAGATTAAAGTAAAATGAGAATAAAAACCGCTTCTATGGGCCAGTCGGACCGTGACGAGCACCAGAATCATTAACAGGAATGATGTGAAACTGCAGAGGCAGCAGGAGTTGAGGGGAGTGGGCGGGGCTTGGAGAGATCACCTGTTGTCTTGTGAAGGCACAGCAGAGCGATAAACTGGATTAGATCATCAACACCGTTTCCCAGCAGATTTAAACCAGAACCCTGATCCAATGTCTAAAATGAAGTTTAACCTGCTGCCAGCAAATTTTATTAGATTATCTCAGATTATAACAGAACCAGATTATCGTCTTAGACTCAGTTCATTTAATTTTCTTAAATATTAATTCAAAGTTTTTGCTGTCTTGAGAAAATCACAACGATTCACTTTAACGTGTTTTTGAGCTGAAACTCTTATTTTGGAAGTAAACGGATCTGAGATCAGCTGAAAGCTTCAGTTTTCCTGTCTCAGACAAACCAGATTTAAACTGCTGAGGCACGACGGGAAAGGGACCTAAAGTAGCACCAAGAGCTGGCAGCTGATTGGACGAGAGGACAGGAAGCAGTGTCGGAATCATCTCCAATTTTTAGAGACGGAACGCCGCTGCTGAGGATTCTGTCATGAAGCAGAACGACACAAATAATCCAACAGTATGCCTCAGAAACCTGAATGTCGGATTTTAAAGGTGGTAGTCTGGCAGTGTGGGAGACGTAGGCGGTCTGGGGGAGACGGGCAGGACGTCTGTGGGACACATAGGACGTCTGTGGGAGACGGGCAGGACATCTGTAGGAGACTGGTAAGACGATGGGACGTGTTACAGCAAGACGAGTGTCCCCAGTCCCACACAGACCAGGAGGACAGGTCCCAGTCCAGACTGGTCTGAAAGTTGCTGGTGGAGGATTTTGGTCCCTGAACTGTTCAGTCTCTTAGAAACCAGGAAGTTTTGTGTCCGCGTCCTCTCCTGAACACCAAATGTGTCACAAAAGGAGGAAAAAAGATCCTCAAGAATCCCAACAGAAGGAGAGGAATAGCAGAAGGAAGCAGAACACAAATATGAAAGTAAAAAAGTCCTACGAGTCAAAAATCCAGGTGAAATATTCCCAGTTTTCCTGAAGTAGTAGAAATGTTGACGATGTGATTCCTGAAGGTGTGATTGTGTGTAAGGCCTTAGTGGAGGTAGAAGTGCTGATCAGGCGATCTCCATCTCACGCTCGATGCCCACGTACTTCAGAGCATCAGCCTGGCTGTACCTGGAAGCCCCGCCCACACGTAACAGTTAGTTCTAGCTCCGCCCACAGTTCTCCAAGCATTAATCAGGTGTGATATGGACATGGACACGCCTCCGTTATGACCAGGCTGCTAGCTTAAATGCTACGCTGATGTGATTTACTGCTAACCTGTAGTCGAAGAACAGCTCCTCCCCGGTCTGAATGGCTCTCTTGGCGAAGATGCCGATCCTGTGGTCGCCGTTGACCATCATCACTGCAGACAGCACGAACAAGTTTCAGCTAAACACCTAAAACCTGCTTCCTGAGGCGCCAACGCGCTGCAGGTGACTTCACCTTTTGCATAGCAGTTGGGGTTGACAGAATGGTTAGCAAAGCGGATCTTGTTTCCTTTCCTGGTGGCGTCCACCACAAAGTCTGCAGAGAGAAGAGATGGCGTTAGCTGAGCGGGTTCTGAAGCCCGACAGACCAGAACCATCGGTGCGTTACCGTTGTTCAGGTTGAACAGGAAGCTGCACATGTATTTATCGTAGACCTTCCCTCTGCGGTCAGCTTCATCCTGAGAGATGATCTGGAATCATGAAGAAATCGTTAACTCCGCCCATCATGTAGGAACCAGAACCAGGTCGGGTTCTGCTCACCTCTCCACAGTACTCGGAGATGAACTCGTTCTTCTGAACTGGCTCTTTGATGAAGATGCCCCAGCCCGCCACGTCGGACGGCGCCAGCAGCAGGTGCTGAGAGCAGCAGGAGGGTTAAACACCGACAGCGAAAGACCGGGTCATAATCTGAGGTTCTGGTTCTACCTTCTTGGCTCCTCTCTGGATGGAGCAGTTCTTGCAGGACACGTTCTTGCTGTCCCAGTGGTCTGCGGCGCCGCAGGTCAGGCACAGATCCGGGTCACACTCCCTCACTGCCAGGTAGCAGGGGCACTGCTTGGTGTTGCACTGGGCTTTGCACCGGCAGCCCGGGAAACGGTTCTGACCTGCAGAAGGACGAGGAGGGGGTCGTGTTACAGCAGAACCTCCTTCAGCTGGATGGGTTCTGCTGGGCTCTTACACTCAGAGCTGCACTGACAGAACTTCTCACAGAAGTTCTGAGCGGTGACGCAGGGACACGAAGAGTCACACGGCTGGCGGGGGTGGTCACATGGCTGGTAGTTGTACACGTGATTGGACGATCCATCTGAAGAAGCATCAGAGACAGGACAGGTCAAACGGGCTCTGGACTGAGACCCAGTCTTCTGTTCCCTGTTCCTCTGACAGCGTCTCGGCTGGAGGACGCCCATGGCGCCGCTCATGAAGGTGCTTCAGATGTTAGCTCACTAGCTAGCGCTAACAGGAACCTGGAGCTGCTGCACTTCTGAAGCTGCAGACCCGCCACCAGCTGTCAGTGTTGCCATGGTTACATGGTCTTGGACTAGGATTGCCAGAAAAAGTAAAAAAAACAAAACGTTTGGGAATGGTTCCTACACAGACACACGATGATGTCATCTGCAGGTCAGAACCAGAACTGGTTCTGGATCAGTTCTCCGGCCTCTAAAGATTAAAGCCGTCTCCTAAACATTTAGATGTTTCAACTCCAGAGGTGAAAAGATTCTCGTTGATCAGCAGAATCGTTGATCAGCTGTTCTCCTGAAACTCGGGTCAGAATCAGAACCAGCAGCTGAAGAACCGACCTTTCTTCAGCTGGATCTTCCTGCAGTGTGTGGCCCACAGCCGGTGCTTCCTCTTCTTCTTCCTGGGGGGCGTGTCCTCGTCTTCAGCAGGAGCTCGGGCGATGATGGCCGACTCTTTCACCCTGAACTCGTAAACCTGAACCATGCAGAAAGTCAGCTGTTAGGAGTGTGTGTGTGTGTGTGTGAGGGAGCACCAGCTGTGGTGAGTCTCTCACTCTTCAGGAGCGACCCACCTGTCTGCAGGACTTGGTTCCGATTAGTCGAGCGATGGCGCAGTAGTTGTCGTAGTACGTCCCGATGAGGACTCTGAAGAGAGAAGCTTCAGCTCCGCTCCACTCCACGGCTTCAGCCTCGCTGCTCAGCTTCATCTTCACCGGCGTCTCGCAGCGAGAGTTTCCCTCTGATCCGAACACAGCAGAGTTCAGAACCATCCACCTGAAGATCCTAAGACACCAAACCAACACCAGAAAACCGGAGACCATACCGGAGCTGCTGGTCGTTTCGTCCTTCTTGTCCTCGTCGTCTTTGTCGTTCTCGCGCTCGTCCTCTTTGCTTCCCTCGTGGTCGCTGTCGGTGTCTTTGGTTTCCGAGGAGACGGTGGGGGTGCTGGGGCGGCTGTTACTGTTGCTGTTGGGCTGTCGTCCACGGCGACGGCCCACCGTGCGTTTGGAGGGCGTCTTGGCTCGCTCGGCCACCATACCTGCTGGGTACTCCATCCCATCCTGAAAAAAAAAAGGTTATTTTAAACAAACTTTATTCAGAAGAAAGAAACAAACAAACCCTCAAAGTCACCTGCACCAGGTACATGTAGCAGTGCATGCCACAGGGCTTCGAGTCCACCAGGTTCTCCAGGTTCTTGCGCTTGTACGTGTTTGGAGTTGCATGGAAAGCTGCAGGAGGAAAAGTACAAAACCAAAACTTATATATAATGTAAGATGATGAGCCCGCCCCCGTAACCCCGGAAACGTGTGGGGAGTGTCTGGTTCCACTAACGGTGGAGGAAACAGTCGTATTTGAAGCAGCGTCTGCAGAACAGCGTGTGGAAGGAGTGCAGGCTCTGCTCGCGCTGCACGGAGCGCGCGTTCGGCCCATCGATGTTCGGCGTGCACTCGGGAGGCAGCGCGCCGGGGAGCTGCTGCTCCGTCAGCTCCTTATACCTACAGGTAAACACACACACACCTGAGAGCTGCAAACATCATCACCAAATAAGAACTAAAGAGGTTTTTTATCAAGACCAAAGTAAACGTAACAAAAAGCTAAAAGTGGGACTTTAGACATAAAACAAACATCACTTTTACTCTGATACTTTCTAAAATAAAACGTTTCCTGTGTGTTTTTATAGATTTACGGTTTGAACTGTGTGTAGATTGGTTTCCTGTTGTCATGGCAACACTCAGACACTGGGACTTTTTCCACTCGTAGCGTCTCAAACTGTACGACTTCCTCGCAGTGCAAAGCTCACGAGTCATGTTCTCACTCCGTACGCGTGGTAGCAACACATCGGTCCTACGAGTCCGAAAACCCGGAAGACCCGGGGGCGGTTGTGTTGTTGTTCTCGAGGCTTGCCGTAGGACACTCAGGGGTTTACGGGGTTGGAGAAGGAAGAATTAAAAACACGATTCCTTCACCATTCTTGTCATCGTGTGCAGAGAAAAGTGAGCAGCCATGTTGATGCATGTGCCGTGAGGGCGGTTCTGGTACGTTTGGGTCGAAGCGTTGCTTCAACAGTGCAAGAACCTCACGACGAATGAACAAATATCCAACGTGTTAAATATTCATGCGAGCACACGGTTGCTGATCGGGACTCGTATACGACAGGAAAATTCGCCCCGACCTTAGAGAGGAGCATCGGCTCACAGCAAACACTCACTTCTCTTTCAGCTCCTCGGTGGAGCCTTTGTCAGGAAACATGGAGGAGATGGCTTCAAAAATCTTATCAGATGGAAACTTCTTGTTGATGTCATTGGTTCGGCCTAGAGAGAGAGAGAGTGTGTGTCAGGGTACTACTTTGTTCCAAATGAACGTGTTTTAACAATAAGGATGGACGGAGGAGGACAGGAACGTGAACTTCCGAGAAAACGTGTTGTCCCCGTCGTTTGTTTGGTCTGGCTATGAGCAGAAGGTAACTTCCTGCCTCCTCCGGCTCCAGACTCACCCTCCAGTCGGTCCTTACGGTGATCCTCTGGCTGCTCTTTACCATCACACAAGTCCATTTTGTCCACCTTAAAATCTTGTTCTTCCTCGTCTTCATCATCGTCCTCGTTGTCGCTGTACTGGGACAGCGCGCTGACCAACTCCACGAAGATCTCATCGTTGATGAAGCCGCACTCTGGAAGAGACCAGGTGAGTGTTACACCCCCCAGAGACCAGACGGATTCTGAAGATGTCAGAACCGATTTAAAGATGGAGCCCTAACCATGGAATCCACGCCCTGACGTCTGACACCGGCCATTTATTAATACATGTAAACATGTATTTGGTTTGTAGGAACATTTTTAAATTCCAATCATTCTCCAGGTTCCAGTGGCTTGTTGGACCCCAACAAGGGACTGAACAGGAGGGAAAAGTAAAGTGTGATTTTAAAACAGAATCATAAATCACAAGCATCACCACACCCTGACGGAGCAGGAGAACAAATAAAGGAAGACCCTTGATTAGATTATTTAGGACCCGCCGCCATGTTCTGAATCTGATCCTCACCTCTGTCTCCATGAACTTTTCCATCGTAGTTCTTTATGAGTTCCTCTATAAAAGTTCCATCCTGGTCCAGAATCTCGTCTCCCATGTAGGGAATGTTATGAAGGACTGTCTCATCCTCCACCTGAAGCAGAATCAAACCCGATTATTCTGCTGCTGAAAGACCCACAACATCCAAGGGTTGGTACGAGGTACGGACCATGAAGTTCTGCTGCAGCGGAGACCAGGAGTACATGACAGGAACTGAGGCCACCGCATTCAGCGTCTTCAGAGGAATGACCTGACGGGAAAACTCTGAGAAGCCGGTGTCCACGGTGCACTGGGGAGGGGGGCAGGACAACCGGTCAGAACGTGTCCTCAGCAGGAACAGAGACTCACCTGGACCGCTCACCTCTCGGCTTCCCCGCAGAGAGCTGACAGACGTCATGATGTGAACGGGCTGGATCCGCCGGGTTTTCCACTCCTGGTTCAAAATATCTGTTCGCTCCATGATTTTCTGACGGTTGGAGTTGAACATGCTCTGGAACCAAAACGTCACACCAGGAAGGTGAGTGATGTCACCTGTAACTTATGTTAACCAAGAAAAATTTCAACAGATGTTTTCTGAGGGAATTTTGATGCAAACGGTCCTAAAACCTCAAAGAATAGAAATACTCATGTCATAGTAATTAAAAAGGTGTGTGTGTGTGTGTGTGTGTGTGTGTGTGTGTACAGACCTTGACCTCATCAGCACGTCTGAAGCGTTTCAGCTGCCGGAGCCTCATGTACTCAGACTTGACCCGCCTCTTCCAGCAGGCCGGACCTTTCTCTGAGCGCTTCCCCGTCAGCACCATGATGAACCTGCAGACATCAAAAACAGACGTCCCATCAGCCAGGATGTGATTTCAGTTAGAGACGAACAAACACTGACCAGCAGGCCTGCTGTCGTTTTAGACTCAGGTAGAAATCAAACAGGCACGGTTGTTTAAAGGTTCGAGGATAAAATCATCATCCGGAATCAAACAGCATCTCTGCAACACACACCATCAGATCGTTGGTTTGCTACACCAATGAACTTTTCTGCATAACTGACAGGATGGGTGCGTTATTAAACCCGTGTCTGAATGTTTGTATATTAGAAGTTACTAAAGATCCAGTTACTCATCTGGTGAAATAAAAACAGTAATAATAACAATTTATCAATGAAAGCACACTTTTATGGTGTCATTGTTTTCATTTAAAGTCATAAAGACCCCAGATCAGCTCATAAACAACCATCTTATTTAAAAAAAGTAAACTTTTCTCAGGATGTCTGAACTAAGCTGGATGACAGCCAACAACATTTCAGCTCCCCTTTAATTTTCTGAGTTGTTTTAAACGAAGCATCTTGCTAAATTAGCTGTGCTCCAACAGAAGTGGTACAGGATGTTTTCACTTTACTCAAAACTGATTTAGCTACAATAGTCTGCCTCCTTGTAACAACAGGAACCACGCGCCACCTCGGCCATCCAAACACTGCTGATTATGGCCACTGAAACATAGCAGATGCATAACGTTTTCAGAAACATGATAAAAATTCTTATTAAACTAGCAGGAAACATGTTACGTGGCTTCTGTGGACAAAACAGGTGAGATGAATTTGTACCAACTGCGTTACACACCTGTTATTAGACTCAGTTGTTGCTTATGAGACAAATATTTACCTCCAAGTTCATTAGTAAAGGTTCTTCTGCTGGTTCCTTTGAGACAATCATACATCCTTTATAATACTACATTTTCAAAAAGTAACCCAATTTAACTAGATAAATTTGACTTAACCACAATGTAACTGATGTTGTTATCCCACTATAACGCTCCAATACTTCACTAATGACATTAACTCAAGTGGGGGTAATTATCTGGGTTAGACCAACAGAAAAGCAGGAAGTCTGAAGATATCGAGCGACACACACACACACACACACACACACACACACACACACACACACACGTAAACCATGTTTATAATTCACGTACAGTCGCTGTATTTGAAGCATCAGCTTCAACATTTCTCTAAGGTGTCTTTGCTCCCACAGCAAAGCTACGTTTTATTACCGAAACATCGATTTAGCTAAAGATCAAACATTCGGCACGAGCCTGGCGAGCTAGCTAACAGTTGGTTTGTTAACAAAGCAACTATAAACCCGGACTAGCTGAATCACCACAAAAAGCTCAAAATAAAATACACCGACACTGACAACTGCCCTCACCTCTACAGGAGGCTCCGCCCTCATTCAACGGAGGGATTCTGGATCAGAAGGGCAAAGACCGGCGAAGTCGTTCTTTGTGTCGAGGATTTGCTGTCACGGCTAGCTGAAACGTTAGCTCCGCGGCTAGGTTAGCCTAGCCGGAAAGAACGAGTCTGTCCGTGACAACCGGCTTCGCGCACCAGCAGTCGGCTAACAACAAAATCTTTAGTCTTCACGCACTAATCCCGACTGTTGTAAAAAAAAATCTGGAACGCGGATAATAACTTTGTAGTTTAGTTCTGCCTTGACTGGAACCAAATTGTTTAATTTTAATATTTCCGCCTCGACACAGACGAGGTTCAAACTGCTCACCGTCTCGCGCACTCACCGCCCACTCCGGCTGCAGCAGATTCAAGAGGCGCCAAACAACCTGACCAATCACCAAAGCCAATGTTTGGTTTTTTCAGTGTGGTGTTCCGTGATAGGTCATTCAAGGTTACGTAGCATCCAATGACAGTAAGAGATAAGCAGCGGCGACAAGAGAACAGGTTCCCTTTGTTCTGTATATTTATGTCGATGGTTCTGTTATTTGATAGTAAAGTAAAAATCCAAATGTCATTAAATTTGTTCAACACCGAAATAACAACTCTTTATTTAATATTCCACCGCTGTCGTAAACATATCGGTACCCCTTGCATCTATTCCATCATGTCCACAAAGCATCAACAACAGCTCCTCCGCTGCTCCTCTGGCAGCTCAGGCGGGAACACGGACACACGTGACAGCTTCAGGTTTAACAGGCGAGTTTATTAAGTAATGACAACACAATCAGTCTTAGAGATTAAAACGAAGGCACGAGAGCTCTGCTTGTTACTGCCTGAAATGTCCAGCCGGAAAGGGTCGACAGGTTTGTTAAGCCACACCCCTCCAAATGCCCATTGGATGGGAACTTAGTGACGTTTACAGTTTCAAAAACAAATGTTTTAGAAATGGGTCAAACAAAAACCAGGTACCATTTCTAAGTGAACCATTGAAGTGTACTCTTATGGTTGTAGTAACGATTTACTGCTCTGTAAGTACTTCTGTTCCACTGGAGAACCTGTTGGATGAAGTTTAGTATCTGTATGAATCTAAATCATCTCTATTCTAGATTCTGATGCAAATATGTAGAGTTGTTGCTAAGTTTGGTTCAAACTCAGCTGTTATGTATAAATTATACCAGCTGCAGATTTAAAACAACCAGTTTAGTTGCAAAAAATTTCTTTTTAATTGAAGAATAACTGAAACAGTAAACCAAAATGCTGCTGAAAGTAAGAAACTTTAAAATCTCACGTACAGAAGACATGAAAAACCAGCAGACAATAAGCTTAATAACAGCAATAAAAACTATTCCTAATCAAAATGAACAACCATAACAAGTTATAAAAATATACATAAAAACCCAAAGATGCCTAAATTCAGGTCATGCATTTGGTAAAACAGTTATAACACACGCACACCTGACCGTTTTAAAACAAAACTAATCAGAAGCTGTGGTTGAACCTCATTAGTGGGACGCAACAGGAAACGCATCATGGAGAATAACTGGACACTCAGTTTTTTCCTGTTTTATTACCTCCGATGTTTCCTCTTTAGTTCCTTAGGTTGAATGTTTAACGCTCATCCATCTTTAACGGTTACTGCGTCTCTTTAGCCGTAACCGAGTTCTCCTGTTTGTTGTTTGGATTGTTTTACACCTGCTGCTGTATTAAACGTACTTCATACATAATAATTGATGCGTATCAGTTCCAGGTCAGGTAAACATGCTGGATTACGTAGGACCTCATGTAGAAACCTGTCTCCTGTAACTTCCTTCAGCCTCACATCAGACCCAGATGTTCAGAGAAGAAGGGGTCGAGGTCACAGAGAGACTCGATCATCTCTGAACTGGCGGCGTGACCGTTCTTCCTCACGATGATGATAACAAAACGAGCTTTGTCTCCTTTCTCCTTCTCTGCCAGGGCTGCATCTCTCTCATAATCCTGGACCACATTCTTCTCCAGAAGTTTGTCCAACAAACTCTTAAGAACAGGTTCTGATATCCCACTGATGAAGCCGATCCATATCTCTGACAGCTGCTCGGTTGGACCTAGATTCTGACGGGTTGGTCCACAGGACCGTTTTTGTCCAGGGGACAGACAAACCCGTCTCCCCCAGACGCTGTTGGACCTGCTGTCCTTCAGACACACTTTCATGTTTATCACAAAACACCTGGAATGCTGGGAAGTAGTTTTCGTAGGACTCCTCAAACTCTGCTTCTGTTGGCTGAACCCGAACCGAGTCGTCTCCAGGACCGGTGGACAGAGAGTAGACCTGCTTCGGCTGCAGCTTACAGTGGGGGGGGTGGGGGGTGGGGGGGGGGGGGGGGGGTGTCTCTAAAAACACCTCATCTCGATCTAGTTTCTTCCTGAAACGCAAAACCTTCCCAAGAGAAATGTTGTTTGGAATCATCAAAACATTAATCTGATGTTCAGGATCAGGACCCACTGGAGGTTTGTAGAACAGCAGAACCAGAGCTCGGGCCGGGTCAGGAGGAGAGTCTTCATGCTTGATGTTCCCAAAAGCAGAAAGGCCTGTGATGTTAATGACGACGTGGGTTTCTGTTACCTTCTCAGGTCTGATGAACTCTGTGCCTTCACCGTCTACATGAGCCACAGACAGGAAGTGATGTCCACCCATGGATGTGACCTCACAGTGAGGGAGGTGAAGGCCTCACACAGACTGCTGCTCACAGCTGATGTCAAACAGAGGTCCTGCAGGCTTCTTGTGATGCAGGCTCAGAGATCTTCTGTCCCAAGGAGCGATCCTGTAAACCACGTCTCCTTCTGCCTTCGTGTCAAACACCAGACCGGTCTCTCTGCACTGGTACAGGCCTGGAGCGGAGCACTGGAACGTGAAGGTTTCATCATCATCATCATCATCATCAGTGACGTCAGGCGTGAACTCCTCTGCGCTGCTTGGTGACTTCAGCTCAGGGAAGCTTGCTGCTCGCTCTAAGTCTGTGTTTTCTGTAGAGAGGAGAGGGAGAAAGTGAGCGCTGTGGGACAAACTGGAGGAAGTTCTCCTTCTCTCACTGGGATCTGGAGTCTGGGACGGGTCAGGAACACTGGGAGGATGAGTTACTAATGAACAGATCTCAGGTGGTTCTTCACCTGATCATGTTTGGTCATCTTCTGGTTCACTTGCTGCTTCTGCAGTAAACAACCGGTCTCTGGTGCTGCTCTCAGGAAATAAAAGATTCTTGGCAGGAACGCAGACGGGATCCCTGGAGTTGAGGACAGTGGGATCAAATGGGTTATAATCTATGTTGAGGGAAAGTTTAGATAGAGGTGAGGAAGATGAGACGCTCAAACATCCTATGTTTTGAAGTAATTTCAGAAATGCTCTCCGCTGAGACTCTGGTTCGGTGTCTGCTCTTCTTCCTGCAGATTGCTTTCCAAAGTCTGGAGGATTCGGCTTTGAGAGCTTGGAAAGATGACGGGAATAACCGGATCGGGTTAATTTGGAGGAGATATTTTCATTTTGCCTTGTTCGTTTGAAAAACTTCCATATTTTATTTCTGCCATCGCCTCTGTCTGACCTTGATGATTCTCTTCTTGTTAATTTTCGTGTCATCTCCACTCGTCTCTGATGTTCCCTCTAAATCAAGTTTAAAAACTTCTTTATCTTCTTTTTGTTCTGCTGATGTCATCAATCATCTGATTCTGGGAAGTGAAACAAATAAATATCAGTTCTCACACTTTACCTGCAGACTGCAGCACCTTTACATGAAGCTCACCCCGATACCTCAGCATGTTCATGTTTCAGGTTGTAGCTTGGACTTCTCTTATTACCTTGTTTACATTATACCTTTACATTTTTGCACCTTAAACTGGCTGTGTGTGTGTGTGTGTGTGTGTGTGTGTGTGTGTGTGTGTGTGTGTGTGTGTGTGTGTGTGTGTGTGCATGCATGTGTGTATGCTTGTGCGTGTGTGTGTGTGTGTGCATGCATGTGTGTATGCTTGTGCGTGTGTGTGTGTGTGCATGCATGTGTGTATGCTTGTGTGTGTGTGTGCGTGTGCATGCATGTGTGTATGCTTGTGCGTGTGTGTGTGTGTGTGTGTGTGTGTGTGCATGCATGTGTGTGTGTGCATGCATGTGAGTATGCTTGTGCGTGTGTGTGCATGCATGTGTGTGTGTGTGTGTGTGTGTGCGTGTGTGTGTGTGTATTTTACTACCTCTTATGTGAGATGTCTGGTGTGCGTAGTCAGTCTCATGAGTCTGGGTGTCGTCCTCGACAGCTCACTTTCTTTTCATGCTCACATCAACAACATAACTCGGTCAGCCTGTTTCCATCTTCGTTCCATAAACCGTCTCCGCCCCTCCCTGACCCCTCACACTGCCGCCATTCTCGTCCACAGTCTCGTCACCTCCCGTCTCGATTACTGCAATTCACTTCTTTATGGTCTTCCCAACAAACTCCTTCATAAACTGCAACTGGTCCAGAACTCAGCAGCCCGTATTATCACCAGAACCCCTTCCTTTCACCACATCACCCCGGTTCTCCAGCAGCTTCACTGGCTCCCAGTTAAATTCAGGTCCATCTTCAAGATTCTCCTCCATACCTTCAAAGCAATCCATAACCTCTCTCCCCCATATATCTCAGACATTATAAGTATCACCACCCCATCCCGTTCACTCAGATCTTCTTCCTCCCTCCATCTTGCTGTTCCTTCTGCCCGTCTCACCACCATGGGGAGCAGAGCTTTCAGCTGCTCTGCTCCCCATCTCTGGAACTCACTTCCCCCACACATCAGGAACATCGACAGTTTCACCCTTTTCACAACCAAACTCAAAACACACGTATAAATCTGCCTATGACCTCTGATTTTAATGAACTGTTTCTCTGTTTTTTCTTCTTTGCATTTAATTGTTTTATTGCTGTTTTAATGTATTTTCTATCAAGTGACCTTGGGTGTTCTGAAAGGTGCTTTTAAATAAAATGTATTATTATTATTATTATCAAGGTCATTGAGCTCTGCAGATCAGTTCCTGCTGACTGACCTCGCTCCAGGTCCAGGTCATGTGGGGTTAGGGCATTTTCCCTCTGGAACAAGTTATCTCTTTGGCTGTTTTTAAGAGTCGCCTGAAGACTTGTTTTATCTGGCTTTCACCTAATCTGTTCTGTGACTGGTTTGAACTGATTATTAGTTTTTTTATGTTTGTGTAGCCTCCAGAAATGGTCAGTTTTCCACCTACAGTCTGACCTCTTCAGTATCCGGCCATATGGAGACATCAGTCTTAACTGGTGCCTTTAATCTGCAAGATACTGTTGCTTGACCAAGGTCTCTCTCCAGCTTCCTCTTATCTAAGACTGCTTTGCTTCACAGAACAAGAAGGATGAACCTTCATAATTAGATCATGTAATGAAATGAACTTTTATAAGAATAAACCGTTATAAATAACGAAGTGTTAAAATAATGATGAAATGAATGAACAATATGGTTAAATGGAATGTTCTGATTAATCTGTGCTTAGATTAATAAGGATGAAATCAATCAGTTTCCCTCTGGGATTAGTAAAGTATTTTTGAATTGAATTGAAATGAAATATATGACACATATCTTTAATCAGCGTATGTGACTGGACAAGACACACTCACCGTATATCCATGACGCAAGTTAAAGTTAACCTCACTGCACAAAGATATTTTCTTATCCACAAAATCAGCATCTTCGTATCTGAGGGAGGTGTGAATCTGAGGTTGGTTGGCAAAACCTCTTTTCATGGCAAGTTCTGATTCGTCAGTAAACCAAAATATGGCCGTTATTTAAACAGCATCACTTCCTGAGTGATTCAGTTGAGCCGAACTCTGACTGGCCATCGGAAGCCTCTTCTCCCATTGCATCTTTTGACAAGCTGTCAAAACCTGTTGCACCCTACAGCTGACTGCAAACGGTTCCTTCAGAATAAAGCTGAACCAGCTCAGACTCCTTAAGAGTCCTCCATAGACACAAATAACTACCTGTAGTGACCTGGAGACATCTCGAGACCGGTCTAGTGGCACTGCGGTTTCTTCTATGGACTTCGGTACCTTTGGGGTTCACGGACTTCCACACATTCCGGATCTACCACGGGAGTCTTTGAAGGGTAAGTAGACTCGACAGATTGCGTCTGATGTGGTTTTATAAACCATCACTATAGTTATAGCAGACCAAATTCACTCCCACTCAGAACTCGGTTTCTCCAGACACGAAGGTTCTCATAACATCACATTCATACATCACACCTCACATTCCATCCACTTATATTCATCCATCACATAAAGTGTTCCTAGTTGTCATGTTTTTAATTGTTTAGAAAATAAATGTTTTATGATCCCTGAATAAGCAAAGAATTCTAAATCTTTCGATTAAACATTCAAAGACCAATCAGACTGGATTTCCATATTTATATAGGAATTCACATCTTATTGGTCAAATGTAGTGTAGCATATTGAGCTTAAAAAGCACCCAAAATACATTCGTAGGCTAACCCTACATTTGCTATTATTGATATTTTTCTTTTTGACCTTAGTCTTATTGGTGTTTTGTTTTCTATGTTTATTTGTGCCGTGTTCAGCGCTTTAGGTCCCCCTTGAGGATGACGGAAAGCACTATACAAATAAAAGCTGATTGACTGATAGACCATTGTACACCTGTGCAATGACAATAAACTATCTTGAATCTAGATAATAGAATAAAGTAAAATGATCAACTACTACTACCTAAGCTTGAGTCTTCGTTTAAGACTGATTAATAACAGAAGGGATAAAATTACATTTGACAGGATTGTTAAAAACAAATAAAAAATATTCATCCTGTAAAGGTACCACCTTAAATATGCATGCATATGAGGGTGCTCTCTATCTTCTGTTGCCAATAATGAATAAAAACAACAACAACATACATAACAGGAAATGCATAATTCTTAACCCGATAGCCATAATTAATCCAACATTGCACATACTGTTCATCCACGCACACACCTGACCATGTCCAGATGCTGTAATGAGTTAATTTACATGTTATTTAATGAACCATAAGACATAAGATTCCATAGGAAATATGGAATCAACCTTATGGATCTGTGGGTACTTTTAACCAGAAGATTGGACCTTTTTATTGCAGGGATTATGTAACACTTCGTATTCACTCAGAGACAACAGAAGAGAGAGTCAAGTTTTAAAAGTTTAAAGATTTATTACTAAACAAATTAAACTAGACTAACTTTAACACTACATGTATGGTAACTAAGGTGAGTGAGACGATGAATGGTGTAATGTGGAATGTTGTTCAGAACCAGCAAATCCGAAGAAACGATTAGTTCTGATGGAAGTGAAGGTGATGTCTTCACGCTAAGCTTTGGTTAGGAGATTCATAAACACATTCAACGCCATTCTGTCGGTCTACATACCCTCAGCGGAAGTCCCCGTCTAGATCAGGAGGTGTAGAGGTCCAGCTTGGACCTTTTGGAGCCGAAGCTTGTAGAAACAGCCGCGGCAGCCGACCAGTCCAGTCTTGAGATACTTCCGGGTCACGACAGTTTTGTTGGCATCTAGCGAGACCCAAAGCTGGGTGGTGATGGTTCAGCTTTTATTCTGAAAGGAACCGTTGCAGCAGTTGGAACAGCAACAGGTTTTATCCAGCTTGTCGTTGGTTCTTTCGGCTGAAGAGGAAAGTTATGGATCGGCCACTCGACACTTCTCTAGAACGCTTTGAACTGGCGTTAAAGATGACGTGGGCATAGTTTTATACTCGACACTTCTCTAGAACGCTTTGAACTGGCGTTAAAGATGATGTGGGCATAGTTTTATACTTCGGATGTTTTGGTTTATGGTCGAATGAAAAGATGACAGATTTACCAAACACCACCAAAACCACGCCTCCGTCAGATCAGAAGGAACTAATATAAGAGACACAAGTTAGAAAATATGTAATAAATTAAATCATAGACAGTAAAATAATATTAAATAATGAAACTGTGCTAAAATATAATCATATAAAAAATGCAAAGCAAGCAATAAAATATAATCATGTAAAAGGAGAAATAAAACTGTAGTAAATATTTAGATAAAAGCTAACCTAAAAAGATGGGTCTTGAGTCTTGACTTAAAAACATGAACGTTCTCTGCGGCCCTGAGGTCCTCCGGCAGCTCGTTCCAGAGGCGAGGGCCATAACACTGGAAGGACGCCTCGCCGTGAGTGTGTGTCCTGACTTTAGGGAGGACCAAGAGACGCCTGCCAGAGGAGCGCAGAGGCCGCGAGGGTTCATATTGTAAAAGCAGGTCTGAGAGATAAGAAGGCCCAAGACCATTAAGACACTTAAAAACCATTAGAAGAACCTTAAAATTGATCCTGAAACATACGGGGAGCCAATGCAATTATTCTAAAACTGGTGTCATGTGCTCCCGCCTCCTGGTCTTCATCAGGACACGTGCTGCTGAATTTTGTAGAAGTTGTAAGCCTAAGATGCTCTTTTTGGGAAGAGCAGAAAGCAGGGCATTGCAGTAATCTATCCTACTGGTGATAAAAGCACGCATCAGCATCTCCGTGTTAGCCCGAGAGAGAATGGGGCGGACGCTGGCGATGTTCTTTAGATGATAAAAACCAATTTTTGTGATATTTTTAATGTGTGGGATAAAAGTCAACTCAGAGTCAAACATCACACCCAGGTTCTTCACTTGTTCAGAAGGATTAAAAGACAGAGATTGTAATTTCGGTAAAAGCTTCTTTCTCTGGGCCTCAGGACCAATGACTAAAACTTCAGTTTTGTTCTGGTCGGGGCGGCGTTAGGCTCGGCTACTTGGGCTGAAGCCCCGGATGTTTCATAGGAAGCCCTGGATCTCAATCGCGGAAGTAACATGCAGTACCAAAGTCCAACAGAGAGGGAGCAGCTGGCAGTAGTTTGTATACAGCCTGCCTGAGCCTCCACCGCTGAAGAAGAAGCCCTTCAGCAGCCGGCTTCTTCTGCACTCTCTGCCTGAAACGCATGAGTGAAGATGGACATAAGGACGTTTTTTAGACCAAAAGTACGGCGACAGAACCCCAGCTTTGATGAGACTGGTGCTGACTCAGGTTTGTGAGTCTTATTAGAAAATATTTGTTGTGCTGCTGGTTTGCCTAAAGTTAGCTTACTATCAGGTAAAGTTGTTGGAGAAAGAGCGGGAATATTTACTATCATCTCACACTAAACACTAACAGGAACAATACTCTGCCCTGAAAATGCTTAATATGTAGCTTCAGATTAAAAATCATGTGGTACAAGACAAATATATATGATGACTAGTGCGTGTCACGTATGTGTGTGTGCGCACGCGTGTGTGTGTTAAGCCCCAGATCTTCCTTAGTCCTAAATCCGCCCCTGGTCCTGGTTGAGCTGGAGAAAGTTCTCTGCCATCCAGGATTTGACGTCTAAAATACAGTTAAAAAGTGCATCCATTGGCCGAGAGTCATCAGGAGACACGGAGATGTACAACTGTGGATCATCAGCATAACTGTGAAAGTTGACCCCGTGTCTCCTGATGACTCCGCCAAGAGGAGGGGAGATTCATGTTTATGCTTGTGTTTAATTTAATGTATATTTTCTGTTATGGATGGGGAGTTTGTAATTATGATTTAGTTATTTGAGTTACCTGAATTGATTAGACTGGTTAGTTTGTGTGCCTGGGGATGTGTGTGTTAATTGTTCCCCTCTTGTTTGTAGAGTGGTCTGATCAGCCAGCATTTAAGTTGAACCTGGTGTGTCTGAAATGTTTTTTCTCTTCTGGATAATGTGTGTCTTGTGCCGGTGTCATTCGGACTAGTTTACATTGATTAGGTTAAGTTCATGTTAATTTTGAAGCTTCTCCAAAATAAAAGGGAGTTTTCAGAATCATCAGCAGTGCTTCTCTGGCTAGTTTGTGCAAGTCCCTGACACAGAGTCTTTACAGCAATCCTCATACCAAGCAAGCATGTAGTGACAGTGGAGAGGAAAACTCCCCTTTAACAGAAAGAAACCTCCAGAGGATCCTGGGTCAGTATGAGCAGCCATCCTCCACGACTCACTGGGGATGGGGAAGACAGAGCAGAAAGTGGTGAAACCTTGAACAAAAAAGTTGCTTCAACTGCCTTTACAAAGATAAACCAGCGGCTCTGTCTGACCCATGGTCTGACCTGGACGAGCTGCTGCTGAGTCGGATTCTTTCAAACCAGATGTGTTACGTCATGAGTTTCGTTCCAGAACTCCACGATGTTCCAGCAGATAAAACACTCGCGTTGTTTTTTTAGTGGTTGAAGGTTAATAATAGTTTACTGCCTTTGTGAGATTACCTGTAATCTTCTTATTTTTTCCCCCTTAATTTCCTCCAAGTGTTTGTGCTGCTTTAACGAGGGAATTTCCCCACTGTGGGATTATTCTATTCTATTCTATTCTATTCTATTCTATTCTATTCTATTCTATTCTATTCTATTCTATTCTATTCTATTCTATTCTGTTCTATTCTATTCTATGCTATTCTACTCTATTCTACTCTATGCTATTCTATTCTATTCATGTATATACGTGCAAAGCTCAAATGCTCACATTTTGAAATGCTTTTACTTTGTATGAAACTCGAAACCACTTCCTGTTTCCGGTCTAATGGTCGCTAGCTTGATGGCTTTTATCGCAGCATCCTGAGCAGCAACCCCCTCAGACCGGACGGAGCTCCGCGGAGTGAAACATCCGTGTCTGCCGCTCTCCTCCGGGTTTCTCGCTCTGTTTCCAGCTCCGCGGGTTGGAGTCCGAGCTGTGAGGACTTGTTTTATCCCAGTTTTACGTTTCTGAAGCGCTAACGGGGATTTCCCGGTAGCAGAGCCCAGAGGATGAACCCTCAGTGTGCCCGCTGTGGGAAGATCGTCTACCCGACGGAGAAGGTCAGCTGCCTGGACAAGGTGGGAGCTGTTAGTCCGCTAAACCCGAAACAGAATTATTGTTTTATTTATGTCTGAGAAATGGGGACTAATAATGATGATGTTCTGGACTCAAGCTGCAGGTGATGTTAGATGTTAAAGAAGTTTCATAACTTTCCGCTCTGGGGGAAAATCTGGATTTGTTTTTGTGTTACTTTTTAAAATGTTAATTAATTTATTTAGCATTTTTAGCCCTAAATACGTTATTTTAGGTTAAACATCTCCAGAAGAAAATAAAACAGCTGATTTGGTCTTTACCTCAGAAACTTTTATTTTTCAAACAGTAATTAGATTCAATAGATAATAATAAATTATCAGACTCTCACGTTTATTAAGGGCTGTTATTACTAATAAAAGGTAAAATGTGATCATTGTAATTATAGACCCGATAGTGAGATATTAGTTTAGCTGAATTTATGTTTCAGATGTTAAATCCCACAAAATATTCATGTTTTGATGAACTCAGATGCAGATTTGTACCCACACTCGATAATAATAATGACCGTTATAGCAGGCTGACACTTGCTCTTGCGTAACAAAGATGAATTATTAATTCATCTTCAGCAGCTTCATGTATTAACTGTCTGTTCTGTCAGGCATCAGATGACACCACAGCATCCAGGCTCTGATCTCCCTTCATAAAACAAGTTAGGAAAAATAAAATCTGATGAAAAAAACGAACTTTTCTTATCTTAGGAATGATGAAAACGATTTCAAATATGTTTACAATCTTATAAAGCAGAAATCAAGGCAGCAAGCTCAGGTTTGGAACCGTTTAGAGGTCAAAATTAAACATGAATCAAACACAAAAGGCTCTAACTCAGAGAGGACCAGGGTTTATCTTCTGTGTCTGTTTCAGCCTCCAGGGTGAATCGCGGGAGGATGGACCTGTTTAGTGGAAGCTGCCATCGCCATCGTCTCTCTTAAAACCGTTTTAACGTTAAAACGATCAACATGAGCGGGTTCCCCTCGGTCAGAGGCTGTGATGTTGTTAAAGAAACATTTCCTCCTCAGGCTGAATGGAGCTCCACTGATGTTAAATAACGCTCTCCCTACTCCAGGCTACAGCTGAACAATGCTGTCTGGGTCGGATCTGCGGGTCAGACAGAACCTGCTGCTGCCGAACCCTGAAACTACCTGAAGCTCAGCTCAGCAGTCAGGAGATGGTTCAGATAGATAATCCAGCAGAATCAAACTTCCTTCAGATTTATCGTCTGGGCATTTTCAGGAGTTCTTCATTTGTGAAGACTCTGACCTTTGACCTCTGAGACCTGAGTGTTAACGGAGAGGACAGAAGCGCGTTAACGTCCAACACGGAACGTAGTCACTTTCTAGGGATCGGACTAATCCTGATGCAGCACAGATGGAGGATGCACAGAAACGAGCAAATAGACCCAACTATAATCTGTCAGATTATAATCTGAACCAATCTGTTTGCACCCAGCTTCTTCTGTTGTTGTTGTTGTTTTTACAGAAAGCATCTTTAATGTTTCTGCTCTGAAACTGAAAATGTTTAAATTCTAAAACACAAAATCTGTGATTTAGGGATTATCAGGCTCCTGCAGATGGAGATGCTCCGTTGCCATGGAGATGAGTTGGTGGTTTGATGATCATGTGATAGCAGGAGTAGGAGGATCCCACAGGTGTTGTGGGATGTCAGAACTACAAACCTTTACCTGCTGAGGCCAAAGAGTTCGTTAATAATCTGTAGCCCAGATTAGCAGAAGACTCCACAAACCCAACGGGTCAGAACCATATTTCCTGGTTCTGAAAGAATCTGGTGTGTTTTCTCATCAGAACTGGCACAAGGGATGTTTCCACTGTGAAGTTTGCAAGATGACTCTGAACATGAAGAACTACAAAGGCTACGATAAGAAGCCCTACTGCAGCGCGTGAGTACGGCCCGTCCCTGTTGTTGTTGTTGTTGTTTACTCTGCGTCTGAGGGGAACCGCCACCCTCTGGGTGGAGCTGCTGTGTTATTTACGAGGCCCTGCAGGTTTTTATAGAGCTGGTGGTTTAGCTGCTCCTGTCCCATCATGCTCTGCTTGTTCTTATCCGCTCGGCCCGATTGCTGCCGCTGGAATTTGTTGTGTTTGGAGAAGGTCGAGGTTTGAGAGGCGGGACCAGGGAGGCGGAGCTTAGAGCTGCAGGTTTATAGCTGAATACAGTGTTGGGGAAGTGATTTGAGGCAGAAACCAGAGCGACAGAAACGCTTTCACCTCTCAGAGGAGATTTTCATCGTTTATCTGGATGTTTTTGGGAAAAACGTTTGTATTTATTCTGAGTTTCACTGAATTTTTTTGTACTTTTTTCTTCAGAAATAAACAAAGTTTAACGTTTTTAACGCTCACACCATGTTTTTGTTTTTATTTGGTCATTTTTCTGTCCGATATAAACATGTTAGTTATTTCAGCTCAGCGTGAAACTGGGACTTTAAGGTCACCAGATAGTTTTTCTGAAGCGTTTTAAATAACTTTTTGTCAATAAATTATAATGAGTATGATTGGACTCTTGAATCTGGAGATGGACGGAGTGAAACCGTTTCGTGAGCTGGGCCAGAACCTGACATGTCCAGTAAAGTGTTGCTAAAGGTCACGAAGAAGAAGAAAAGTCTGACTTCCTGCTGATAAACTGTCGATTCGCCGCCTGACTGGCTGGCTGTAATTAGCTACTTCCTGCTCGTCAGCATCTCCAGACTCAGGATTGTTTACGCTTTCCTGCTCAGCGTCGGGTTTGTTTTTGGACCTCGGTGTTGCATGTGGAGCCCAGAGTACAGACCGGCATCCCATAATTAAAGTGTGTGTGTGAAGCTGTGCCTCCCTCTGACGCCCTGTTATACTGGGCTTACTGGGATGGAGCCCGTCGCTTCAGCTTCTGTTTGTTTCCTCTGAAACGTTTACTTCCTGTCAGTCCAGCGCAGGATGAGTCTGAACCAATCAGATCACACCACTCCTTTTACACCTGTCCAATCAAACTGGCTGGTTAAGGAGAAGTTAGTCTGATTTGTTACTGGGATTATTGAGATTAGATCAGATCTGAGGGTTTCCTGGTCTTGTGCTTCGTAAACCTCAGGAGGAGTGGGATTACGGAAGCACATGATGACTGAGACGTTACCACCTTTCACAGCTTCACGACTTTCAGCTTGTAAAGGCTGAAACGGCAGAGAGGAGGACTCCTGGTGTGGAGGAGTTTAGTTTGTCCTGCAGGAGAGTTCGGTCCTTCTGGATCAGCTGTTTTAATAACAAAACCTCCTCCTCTGCAGCTCCTCTAAAACTAAAGATCCTTTTCTGTTTAGGGAACTCATTTAATTCATTAGATTATTCATGAACGTAGGAAGCAGCTGAGTCCAAACCGGCCTCAGACGTGAGATTTTAACCCTGAAAGTTCCTAAAAGTCAAGAAGTGTTTTGGTTTAGCAGCTCTGAAACTTTCAGGGTTTTTCTGCTTCTGATGTTTCCGTTTAAAACTTTTCTTTATGCAAATGAATCCAAATCACAGCTGATTACGTAACGCTGCTCACACGAGTGTGTGTGTGTGTGTGTTAGCAGCCTCTTGCGGAGGTAAAGATGTTTTGGTTACATAAGGAACTGAAGCAGCCCACATTACCCAGATCACTGCAGCCTGGTTGTGTCGAAGCAGCAGAAAGGAGGAGGTCTGCTGAGACCAAACGTGTTGCTCAGATTTAGAGTGTGTGTGTGAGTGTGTGTGTGTGTGTGTGTGTGTGTGTGTGTGTGTGTGTGTGTGTGTGTGTGTGTGTGTGTGTGTGTGTGTGTGTGTGTCCTGGTCCGGTATAAACACAGAGCTCCGGAGAGGATTTTGTGGATGTGCCGTCTCAGACTCAGGACCAGTGAGATGGTCAGGATGATGAAACCTTTACTGTAATCACCTCCTGAACGTCTCACGGTGCAAAATCACGACTTCATCCACTAAAACAACGTATGCTGCTTATGATGGTCAGATTACATTTAAAATGTGGCTAAAGCTGATTTCTTTTGCCTTTTATTTGATTTATTTTTCATAAAACTTGTTTCTGTCTAACACGTATGAATAATTCCTGACTCATTTAAAGGGGTTTTCAGCCATTTTAGTGTGTTTTTGTAAAAGTTACAAAGAATTCCCACAGACGGCTTGCTGAACAGCCTCAGCTCAGAGAAATAAAGCTGGCATTCTTTAGCACTAATAAGCTAACAGCTAGCTAAACCAAGTCGTCTGCTTAAGTTTTACCACCTGACCTTCCCACGACAGGAACCGTTAACCTCAGAGTTCTGCGTGGGTGTCCGTTAGGGCTGCAACAACGAATCGATGAATTCGATGAAAATCGATTACTAAAAGCGTTGGCAACGAATTGCGTCATCGATTCGTTGTGTCGCACAACTCTTCCAAAAGCGCCCCCCCCCCCCCCTTCCCGCCCACCGTTGCGCGCAGACCAGAGCAAGTCAGATCAGCGCGAGGGAGAGCCGCAGATCAGCGCGAGGGAGAGCCGCAGATCAGCGCGAGGGAGAGCCTGCAGACTTGCGCTGCTGCGAACCGGTTCCGCATTGTTGCACAGCGATCCAGGCTGCTGCTTCCAGCGCACGGTCCATTCTCAAAGTGGCGCAACCAAAAAACTATAATTAGCACACGATCGTTCTTGTCTGCACATGTTCTCTATTTTCTGTCTTATTTGTGCCTGAAGCGCTCTGCTGCGGAGCTCATCACCTGTGCTGCGGTGATTTCACCTCACGCAGCATCGAAAACGCGCTCTCCGCTTTGCGGTCAGGAGATCCCTTTGATCTGCTCAAAAGTAACTGATGAGGTGAAAAAGTAAGAATCCAGGCAACAGATTTTCTGGAGAATTATGAGGAGATGCAGGAAGATGAGAGGCAGACAGGACAGGAAAATAGTTCAATAAAAACAAGAAAACAAAGTAAAATGTAGGTAGATTTATCTCCACGACACGTTTTTACCAGTAAAAAACAATAAGTTATACACATGTCATAGTTATACATCTGATACAATTCAGATCACCTTCAAAACTCAGTCACACACCCAGGGCCGTTTCAAGACATTTTGGGGGCCAAGGCAAAATGTCTTCCAACCCCCCCCCCCCCATAACTGGGCTCCCCAGAAGCCTCTGTGTAATTGTTACCCTCTCCAGTAGTGTTAGTTATATGGTGTTTATAAAAGCCCCTCAGACATTACTGACATGTTCTAATATTATCAGATGAAAAACTAAATTATCAGACATGCTGTCTCATCTGCTGCTTTTCTAAACTTGCAAAAAGTAACAAAACCATTTGAAAGCCACTATTTGTGGATTCTCTGAAAGTTTCCATGGAGTGTGTGGCAACTTATTTTATCATTGACCCTATCGTCTAATCTCACAGCTGAAACAAGCATCCTTAATAATCTGTGCACAGGAAGCTTACCGATGCTGTAGTAAAACAAAAGGTATAATAATTTATTATTAATAAAACCTTGTTGCAGCACTAAAGCATAAAAATGAGATTTTGCATTAAATATGCTAAATATTTACATATGAATTGTTTTAGAGCCCTTTAATTGGCAGAATCTGATATTAATTTAGTTCTTACAAAAAATGGGTCCCAACATGGTTTGTGTGGTGTTGCCATAGTGTGACGTCATAGGCACAGATCCCCTGTCCTCTTGTTTGGAAATGGAAATATGATCACCCTACATTAAACAAACTGTCCACCCGGGCTTTTGCGCTGCACAGAGACGCTTCGCTGCCTACGACTGAACGTCAGTTGAGAGTCAGTCTCATGCAGACTGACCAATGAAGAGAGGGCCTCAAGTTAAGACCCTCTCCTCATTGGTCAGTCCACACGAGGTGGGTCAAAGGTTACTCTGGGTGGGTTACGTGTTGTCAGGCATTCAAGTATTGAGTATATTTACTGCATATTACTGTAAAATATTCTGTATGTGACCACATTATGGTGATCCTCGGGTCGTGATGATGGAGCCCTTGAATATTGTTGCCCAGGGTACAACAAAGTGTTAATCTGGCCCTGGTTCCGCCGTCACATTCCCGCAGAAACTGGTTGATCACACCGGGGCCAGACTACTAGCATGTGGCTTTACAACCACAATGTCCTCAGAAGCAAAAACGCTTTTAAAAGGGAGGGAGGAGTCCTAACTGTTGCTGCAGGCGTGTTGTGTGAGAGTGCAGTTATATACTGGTTAATATATTTTTGGGTTCAGTTGCTTTCATGTGGCCTAATGTGAGTCTATTTGGGATCATTGGAATGATCAGCAGCATTTCTTGATGTGACTTTATGGCAGTTGCCCAGGGCATCATCGCAAGGAGAATGGCATTCATTTACTTTTGTTTTATTTGGTATTTTTTCAGTCATTTTTGGAAATAGTGATCAATTTTGATTAATTCACGGCCTATGTTTAATTACATTTAAAATAAATGTCAACAGATGAGATCAAACAAAACAGATGAGAATTGCCCTTAAGCTGTTTAACTTGGACCAAGCATTTTAGGTCACAGATAGATGTAGCTTAGGGTCTCTGTCTATACACCTTATAAGACAATTTAGGTGATGGCATGTTGTTTTTCTGCTATTGAACTGTTTTCTAATAATGTTGTGTTAAATAAAGTGAAGGAAGGAGAGAAATAACGTTTCCCTAGCAGTTTTTAAAAATTTCCCCATGTAATCCGATTAATCGATTAATCGTGTCGAGACCCCATCCGATTAATCGATTATCCAAATAATCGTTTGTTGCAGCCCTAGTGTCTGTGTGCTGTGAGACCGGCGGGGGGGGACAGCTTTGGTGGGACACTGAGGGGACAGAAACACACTGTGGACTCGGCTGCGCTCAGACTAGCTGTTAGCTCATTGATTCTGAAGGACATGAACTCAGGATTTTCTGAACTGAGGCTGTT